TTGGCAGGCCTGCTATGGCCCATATAGTGCGTTTAATGAATTAAGGAACAGCATCCCTGTCGAATGGACAGAGGTCTAGGGCTACCTCGCTCTGTGAGTGGAGCAGGCAGCCTACTCACACCTTTGACCAAACACTCTCGTGCATTTCTAATCTGTACAAGGGCATGTGATGGCCTGTCTTACATACATAAGTTCAGACTGTACCAACTGCTCACTCCTCAAGAGCAATGGGGTTGCTGGAATAGAGTGGTCAAGTGACAGACAGCTCAACCCAACAAATGTTTATACACCGGCATTGAAAATGCTGTGAACAGAAGGACACTAAGGACACAAAACACTACCAAGATGCCTAAGAGTATGAGAAACATGAACTAAAAAGTGTAATATCCTGAAAATACCTCATGCGTCATGACCAAGAGTGTGACAGAAATGGAGAGGAGTTAAAAACAACAACAAAGTCAGGGGTCAAGAAGCGAGAATAGTTAGGATAAAGGTACAAGCTGAGGCACACACCGTAGGACTGAGTCTACAGATGAACAACATGTTCTGGATCATTCTTTTATGAAGTCTTGTCATTATATGTCTTATATTTTATTTGGAGTAGTTTTATTTGCTCTTAAGGAAATATCTGATCATTGGCAGTTCAAAGAATTCTGCCAGTATTTCAAAACATAAAGGTCTTCTCTTAAAAATCAAATGAAAACATGTATATATAACTATTCAAATCATGCTTGTGTGGATGAATAAATAATCAGTATTATATTGTCTTCCTGGTATGAGAATCAGAAAGAATAAATAAGGTCCAAAATGAAAAAAAAAAATCAGTAAGTTGTAATATACAAAAATCAATAGTGTTTCCACAAACAATAAACTATCAAAAAAAGAAAATTAAGAAAGAAAATCCTATTTATAATAGCAGCAAACAAAGTATTTAGGAGTAAATTTATCCAAAGATAGTGAAATCTATAAAACATTGATGAAAGAAAATTAGATGATAGAAATAAATGGAATGATATCCAGTGTTTATGGTTTACAATATTGTTAAAATATCCATACTGCCCAAAACAATCTACATGTTCAAATGTAACAGTTATCAAAATACCAAAGAAATTTTTTACAGAAATAGAAAAAAAAAAAAAAACCTAAAATTAATATAGGACACACCAAAAACCAAATAGCCAAAGCAATCTTGGGTAAAAAGCACAAAGCTGGAGACATCCTTCTCTGGTTTCAAAATATAATAAAACTGTGCAACTGAAACAGCATCGTACTGGAATAAAAGCGGACACATGGACCCCTGGGACAAAACAGAGAGCCCAGATATAAACATGCACAGTCTATAGTCTGTTGATTTTTCAACAAAGGTACAAAGTACCGTCTCTTCAATAAATGGTGTCAGGAAAACTGAAGAATAAAATTGATCTTTATTGGAGATCATAAGCAAAAATCAACTCAAAACGGATTAAAGACTTAAACATAAGGCCTGAAACTATAAACGTACTTGAAGAAAACAGAGGGAGAGTTGGGTATGATGGTACCTGTACATGTAATCTTAGCCACTTGAGAGGCTGAGGCAGGAGGATCACAAGTTTGAAGCCAGTTAGCGAGACCTTATTTCAAAAAGAAAAAAAAAAAAAAATGGCTAGAGATGGAGGTCAGCACTAGTGCATACTAGCATGCACAAGACTCCGGGTTCGATCCCCAGCAGCAGAAGAAAAAGGAAGGAAAACATAAGGGAAACTTCCGTAACACTGACCTGGTCGGTAATTTATTGGATATAACTCCAACAGCACAGGGAAGAAAAGCAAAAATAAATATATGGGATTGCATTAAACAAAGTCAAACTCATAGAAACAGAGAATGGTTTTACCAGAGCCTAGGGAGAAGGTTGGCAAAAGGGGAGAGGTGAGACAAAGATTGCAAAACTGTAGCGAGACAAGCAACACAAGCTTTAGTGGTCTACTGCATGTAATGTTGGACACAGGTAGTAATAAAGTATTTTACATTTTAAAACTGCTAGGAGTACATTTTAAATGTTCTCACCACAAAAATGTAGGCAAAGAGATGGATATGTTAGTTAGCTTGATTTAACAATGCCAGGATAGACACATATATCGAAACTTCACATAATACTCTACAAATATATAAAATTGTCAGTAAAAATTCGGAACAAAAGAGCTAGTAGAAGTGGACTCAACTTTTTAATTAACCTCTATGAATGGCATCTCCAATATCCATAAGCGAGGCTTCTGAATGACCCTGACCAATCCTTCTCCATCATCGCCCATGCTCAACAGGCCCCGTCCCTCACTGCATATCCTCCTTTCCTAGTGTTTTCTTCTCATTCCTGTCACCTTTCTGGAAGCAACAGAAGCCATTTTGTTGAGTTTGGTTTTTTTTCCTTTTTGGTACCAGCAATTGAACTCAGGACCTTGTGCTTGCCAAGCAAAGCACTGTGCCACTGAGCTATATCCCTGGCCCTCAGAAGCCATTTTTATTTGAGGTGTTTTCTTCTAATTCAGTTGTTTCCAGTCTCTGTCCCTCAAAACCTCTTCTCTCGTCTGAGAACATTTTCCTAAGTTTAATTCTGATTATGTAACTTCCTGGTTCAATAATCTTCGGTGACTCCTAATTCGCAAAGGCCTCCAGAATAAATTCTCACTCCTGTGGCCGTGGGATAAATAACATGAGAGTGCATGGTGCACGGGGAATGGTGTCAAATAGAATTTTTTTCTTTTTTCTTTTCCTGGTACTCAGGGCCTTGGGCATACTTGGCAAGTGCTCTATCACAAAGTTACTACCCAGCCATAGAACTAAGTTTTGAAAATTACACCCAAAGTAGTAATGTATCGAGATTCACTTTTACCTCTTTAAGGCTCAGACTTCCAATGAGACATGGAGAGAAATCATGAGATTATAAAGACTGTGTCTAGCCAGGCATTGAGCACACGACTCAATCCCTGTCCCCTCACTTTCCTGCCCAGACCACCATTTCACCCCCGATGCCGCAGCAACTGTGTACTCCACAACACTGACAGTATTGTGGATCCTCCGCTTGTATTGCATCTAGTATAAGCATGTTTAGGTAGAAATACTATCTTGGGTAATCTTTTCTCACATTCTATATTTAAAATGTCTTAAGAGCAAAAGTTTAATCCTCATCTTTGTGTCTCCTATACTCCATTCCATTATACACTGTACATAATGAGAACTCTATAAATGTTGACTAAGTTGGATTGAGTTGTATCATCTTATGTGATTTATCCAAATACTATCATAAAAAGCTCTTTGATGTTAGAATTCTATCCTCCTAGTGCCCAACACAGACCTTGGAGTATAGTCACCATTCCTAGAATTTTGTCAATTTGTGTCAGACTGAAAGATTATCTACCATGGTAAATAATTTTTTTTTAAATTAGGACTTTTATACTATAGAGACGCTTGCATACCCATGTTTATTGCAGCACTATTTACAATAGCAAAGTTACATAATCAGCCTATTTATGAATGAGTAAAGAAAATATTATATATAGACATATATATGCACAATGGAATATACTCAATCATTTAAAAATGAATGAAATTAGGTCATTTGCGGGAAAATGGACAGAGCTGGAGATTATCGTGTTAAATGAAGTAAGCCAGACTCAAGTGTCATATGTCTTCTCTCACATGTGGAATGCAGTGGGGAAAAAACAAAGGTGACATGAAAGTAAGGGGAGCTTTAGAGGAAAGTGTGCCAGGGAAGGGAAGACAGAATAATTTGAATGCTAGATCTAATTAAAGTTCATTATATGTGTGTATGTAAACGTCACCCATTATTGTGTACATTTAGTATGTTAATTAAACGTGTTTTTAAGGTTTTTTTTAAAAGGATTTGAGCAAAAGACAATAATAACACCGACTCAAATCCATCATTACTATTGGGGAAAAAATGTTCAAAAATGTTTTTTTCCTGTTTGCATTTTGCAGGGCTGAGAATGGAGCCCAGGAGTTTGAGCATGCTAAGCAAGTGCTTTACCACTGAGCTGTATCCCTGCCCTCAAGATCACTTTTCACGGTATCGAACAGTAAAATTATTGTGCTCTAGAATATGAGTTTTAAGTTGAATGGGTTTCTATTTTATTTCCACACAAATTAAAACCTGAGAAAATGAGTTGAAAATGTTTACCAACTTCACAGTGCTTCAGCTAAGATAAACAAAAACAATTTCTTTCCCATTTTATTTTTTGTAAAGGATATGAGCAACTAATCTTCAAATAGATTAAAATTAATGTGGTCACTCTACTTAATCTTCTAACCCATCTTCAAAGTAAAATAATACACAGTCAAACTATATCACATGGTTGAAAAGTTGCCACTAATACAACTTTTAACAGTTGCTGACTGTTGAAAAAAAGAAGTCTGTTAAGATCGAGGACTTAGGTTGGAGACACCCACGGGTGAAATTTCCTAGGGCTTTAGACCTTGACCAAATTCTTTCCAAAGCTCTGCATATTGACTGTGATACAATAGGAGAAGTTATCTGGGGGTTGCTGTGAGAATGAAATGATCATAAAGCATTTTGCCTGGAAGGAATGGTAGCTGCAGCGATAACCGCCTTTATATACAAGGGATAAGCAACATAAGCAGCAAAATATTCAAATTTAAGAAAACTTACTACGGAAAAGACACATTGCCAAGAATGAGGGGATAACTGTTCAAAGCGAGAGGAAGTCTTTTCAGTATAAGGTAGGTTACAGCAATGTCCTTTACAGTAATAAATATTTTAAATTTAAATATCCACTGTATTTCTTGCTCATCCCTCATTGATCAAACGTACACAGCAATTGTCAAGTAAAACCATCATCCTCAAGGCTGGGGATTTAGCTAAGCGGCACAGTGCCTGCCTGGCAAGTGCAAGGTTGCGAGTTCGATTCCTGGTACTGGAAAAAAAAAAATAATAATAATAATAATAATAACTAAAAAAATAAATAAAACCATCATCTTCATCCACTTTACTTGCCAGATCTGGTGAGACTCCTGGCTCCTCCCCCAAGTCAAAATGACCCCCAGAAGGGACCGTTTTCAATCACTCGGGACCTGAGGCAGCCACGACGGCCCGGTCAGACCCTCAGGAAAGAACACTCCGGAGCTGCTGCAGGAGCGGCAGGGACCACGGGACAAGCACGCAGGAGGGGGTCGGCTCCGAAGGGAGACTCCTGGCTTTCACTCCCAAGCCCTTTTTAAACCTCAGCCTGCCCATTCCCGCTCCAGCCCGCGCGTCCTCGCTGGCCCTTCTCCGCGAGGACCGCGCCGTCACCACCTGGAAGAAACGCGGCCTGAGGGGCGGCCCCTCCCCCGTGGCGTGGGCCAGC